CGCTCGTTCCGAATCGTGCTCCTGCTGCAGCGCTGGCGTCTTTTTTTCCAGTGCCATGCCGTCGCATGGAATGCAATGCTATGTGGTGTTCCGCTGTGCAATGCCTTCAGCTGCAATGCTAAGATATGCAGGGCTTGACTACACAGTGCCATGCCGTGCTATGCAATGCTACGCTTTGATTTTCAACGCCATGCTATGCCATGTTCTGTTATGAACCGCTGTGCGATGCCATTCTTTGCGTTGCAATGCTTCGTGATACAATTCTTCACTACGCAACGCCACGCCATGCTATGACCTAATACGTTCTGCCGTGCTCCTCTACACCCTGCTACGCCGTGCTCTACGATGCATCGCGCACCCTCTCGGGATCATTGCCCTGCTCGACATCCGACTGTGCGACTAGAGGGGGATCTACGCCATAGTAAGGGATGGGGAGGGGTAGGACGTCAGATACGACGCGCGCGCACCTAGCTTGTCCTCCTCCTCCTCCCTCCTCCTCCTCCTCGTCCTCCTCCTCCTAATCCTTTTTGACAGGCTAGCGCAGAGTGGATCGGAGGTGCTCCGTTAGGCGCGCGGAGCCTGGTACGATGTGACGGGAGCGGAGCTGCGTCAGCGGGGGGCAGGCAATTTCGGGCTTGTGCCCCAAATTGAGCTCTTATAAGGCTAGATGGGATGGTGTTTCCAAAACGGCGAACCGCGTGGAGCTTCCTAAAACAGGCTCGGACCAGGTTGCAAACAAAAGTCGGTTACACACAACAGAAGTCGGTTCCAAACAGTAGAAATGTGGGCATCTCGTGCGGGATTTCCTCGAAAATCAGGTTCGAACCAGGCTCGAACTCGGTTCCAGACAGTAGTCTCGTGAGCGTCTCGCGTGGGACTTCCTCGAAAAGCAGGTTCGAACCAGGTTCCAATTCGGTTCGTCTTGAGTTCCTCTGCATCTTTCGTCATTCTTCTGCATCGTGCCCAAGAGCGCCGCAGTGGCAGAGTTGGGCGAAACTCTGATCACGCAGACGGGCAATCTCATCCCGTCCTCTTGGCAATGTCAGACCGTGCTTTCAGTAGACATCTTGGTTTAAGTTGCTGAGGTGAGGTTCATTAGTCATGCTGCCTGATGCTGATTTGAGAAGCCTCTTGCTGGACCACGTGCAAAAGGTACGAAGTTTGGCAACGCAGTAGGTCCGGACGCGTCCCGAACTCCGGCCGACGAACAGTCAACAAGAGCACACAAGAAAGGGAGTAGAGGGAAGGATATGACGAGAGGGAGGAGGGAGGAGAGGGAGGAGAGGAGACGGCAGAGGAGGAGGAGGAGGAGGAGGAGGAGGAGGAGGAGGAGGAGGGCCTTCCCATGCTCCCTCCTCCCCCGTCCTACCCATGGTGGTTGGTGGTGGTGGTGGTGGAAGGTTGGCCCGTTGGCCCCCCCCCCCGCCAGGAGTCCGAGCGGCGCCGGCTCTTCGAGGAGGGCGGGGAGGCCCCCCTGGCGCGCGCGCGGGAGGGCCGCGCGGGGCCGCGCCCTCACCGCGCCTGGGCCCTCTCCGCAGGCTAGGGCGGCCTCGCTCCGCGCACCCCCTGGCCGCTCGAGCATCGGGGGCCCCCCCGGGCGGTGCGGTGATGAAACCATGTGGCCGTGCACGAGAAGCGTTACCCTCCCCAGGATACACGAGAACATCCAACAAGCACGGAGAACATTCGAGTACCCTCCTCGAGCCGACCTCGATCTTCCTCCTCGACCTTATTCCTCGGTGTTCCGAGTCGGTGGGTTTTGGGGGCGACGGACAGACGGAAGCCGTGCGCGTCAGAGGTGCGCCGGCAAGAGGTCGGCGGCGAGCCCATGGGGGGAGGTGAGCAGGGGCGGGCCTTCTCAGAAGGCTCGGAAGCCTCCGGGCCTTCTGAGGAGTTTTCTCGGCATTCCTCGAGGACGCAGACAACTTTTCAGAAGGCGCGAGGGATTCTGAGAAGCCCCGCCGCCTTCTGAGAAGGCCTTGTCCTGCTCGCTTCCTCCCTCGCACGTGTCGCCGAAATACGGTGAAACGGGGATGCTGGGGTGAAGCCACTGGCGTGCGAAGCATGGCACCCGAGGAGGAGGAGGAGGAGGAGGAGGAAAAGGAGGAGGAAGAGGAGGTCCGTAGCCATTTTGGCTCAAGGCTAAACGTTGTGAAGGTCTATAGATGCCCGAGAATCAGCGATTAGCTTTGCGCTCGTCCGTAGCTGGTTTTCGAGTTCTGGCGCAGCGCCCCATTCTCCGTTCCCACCATTCTGCGCCTCAGTCTTTTGGCTGTTCCCCTCGCTTGCTTGTGGGTCCTCTTCTCGAGCGAAGCATTGCGGGTGCAGACAGCGTTGACCTGGCGGAACGGAATTTCCAGCATCGAAACGACAAACATTGGCTGCTCCCGGTGGTGACCCTCTCACTCCACGACGTGACGATCTCGAAGGGGAAGACATGCGTGCATACGTGGAGCGCATCCACTGGGAGTTCGTGGACTAGGCCAACGAAGTCAAGCACACGGTGGAAACGACATGGCAGACATTCACGAACACAGTCACGCAGACATGCACCAACCTCGGCAACAATATCAATGTAACTATCGACAACTTGGCAGCGCGTGTGTAACCCGTGGAGGAGCAGATGGCAACTCACCGCGCGAAAATGGAGTCAATGGAGAGTGAACTGGCCAGACTACGTTCGCAATTCGCCGAGGAGCTGGGCATCGTCCGCGCTACGGCTTCCGAGCGTGTCATCATGGCTGGGCCTGGATCGGCATTTTCTCGTGAGGTGGAAACTCGTGTCATCATCCTGCGGATCCAGGAGCAGATCGCCAAGAGTAACGTCGCCAATGTCCTGCTCCCGTGGCCTCGTGAAGCGAATGTTCCTGATGAAGAATGGACGATTGAAGGTGATCCCACTGCAAAGCGTTTTGTACTGCGACTCCGAGGTGCTGTGGGCTTCGCCAGTCGCAGAGCGCAACGCTGTCTCACTCAATTGCGTCCCACTCAGCGTGGTGGACCTTGGCGACGATTCCATGGCCTGGCAGTGGACGACACACCATCGGTGACCCACGTGGGCCCAGACAGGAGAGCTGAGGAGATCCAGAGGGAGATTTCAGCGAAGAGCGTCAAGAAAGTGCTGTCGATTATCTTCCCCACGACACGTTCTTCGTGGACAAGCAGAAACGTGCGGTCTTGACGAACTGGAAGCCGCTGGTCCACGTCCGCCCCCTGCCTGATCAGGAAATTCCAGATGTCATGGTCGCGATGGCCAACCTCCAGCCGGAGGGTATCGCGAGGGACCATATTGAGAACTGGATTTGCATTGCATTTCGGACGTCGTCGGCGGCTTCTGAATGGAGTGTTTAGCACGTTCCAGACCCTGTGAAGTGGCCTTCCCAGGGGTGATGTTCCTCTTCGAGTTTCAACTTGGAACGCTGCGGCCCCCAATCAGCATGAGGAGCGCGCGCGGCTGGCCAAGTGTGCGCACCTCGAGAAGTTCCTTCGGCCTGGAGCAAAGACGGCTGGGAAGTAGGTGCAAGGCATCGCTGATAGTGTTCAGGATTTCCTCCCACTCCAACCCCTCCTCTACCTTCTCGTTCTCACCCTCTTTCCATCCCAAGTGCTCTCGCTCTGGAGGTGCTGTTACGTTTCTTGTTGTTGTTGCTGTTGTTGTTGCCCCCCTTTTAATCTCGGCCCCGCTGAGCATCGTGGGGCGACGTGCGGCGATTCTCCCCCGATCCTCTCCTCCTCTGTGCTTCTGCATGGGCGCGCGCTGGTTACCGCGATTGCGGCGGCGAACGGAGCCGCGTGCATCGCGCACTATAACATTTGCAATCGTGGTTTGTCTCGGAGTCAGATACTGTGTATCCTGGATCGTTTCATTACCTCTCGTCTGGAAGCCCTAGGGGGCCTGCCCTGTGAGATCGCGTCGGTCACAGGCGATTCGAATTCTACTGCTGAAGAACTGCGCCCTCTTCTGCCCGGCGGCCTGCATCTTCCTCCGCCGACCCCGCCGACGAAAGTTTAGAGGGGGGCCCTGGGGCCCTGGCCGAAGTGGCGACTGATGGCGCCACCCCCTGCCGCCCTGGGACGAGGTGCCCTTCGACGATCGTTCGTATTTTTGTGAACATTCCCGAGTGGATTCTGAGCCAGTTTTCCAAGGGCGGCGAGGTTGTGGGGGCCCCCGAAGTTCTCCAGGCCAAGCGGATCTCAGACCGCGCTGCGACGACTGCGCGCGTCCGTCCTAGGGAGCAGGCGCGGGCTAAGAGTCGACCGATCTCGAAGGATTTTTTCTAAGGACTGCGCCGAGTTTTTGACGAAAGCGATTGGGCGTGCTCCTCCCGACCCCCCCCAGAGTGTCTGCGAGGTATGCGAGGAGCGCTATCATCTTTCGCCGCCCCGAGAGCTCGTCAGCGCAGCATTGCACGCGCAGTCTTTCGCGGTGACGTTTATTTGGCAGTCGAGCTTCAGCGCTCGCATCAGCTCGCCAGAGATCATATTTTGATCGGCCGTTGCTCCCAGAGCGTTCAGCTGGCGGGCCCTGCCGCCGTCGCCATCCCGCCGGCAGGGCCCCACCGCTCGGTCGCGGTGCGCAGCGGGGGCCGCGTCTCCAGTGCTGCTGCGAGGGGAACCAACCATCACAAACAACGGCGTCTGAGATAACGTGCCAGGAAGATGCGTCGTGCCGAGGCCCTCTGGAGCCCGTTCGATCGGCGTGTCTATCTCGCTGGCACTCGGGGCTCCCAGGGCCACGTCGTCTCGGAACACTTCGCAATGAAAGCAGCCTTGGTGGAGCGCTGGGGCCAGATTTTTGCGCAGAAGGATTTCAATGGGAAAAGCAGCGTAACTATTGCTGACTCACCCCGCGCGCGCAGGCGAATGACGCCCCTCCTCCCGCGCGCGATTCCCTCGAGGCCCTGTTGGGCCGCGTGCGACGCTCGGCTCCCGGCCCTGATCAGCCCTATGCTGCCTGGCAACGGGCGCCGCGCTGGCTGGGCGTGCTTTGTGCCGGCGCGATGACCGCGCTGAAGGGCGAGATGCCCCCGCCCGATTGCAACCGCACCCTCGGCGCCCCTATAGGCGAGGGCCAAGAGGTGGGGGATTTGTCTGGCGCGGCGCGGGGGGCCTCGGAGACGCGGCCTCATGGGCTGAAGAAAACTGACAACGAGATCATCACTCGTGCCATCTGTCAACCTTTGGCCAGAACGGTCCCTTCCTGCCTTGATCCCAGCCAGGAAACTTCGGGGGCGACATTTATCGAGCTGGACGGTCGTGCGCGAGTTCTTGGTCTTGAGGCCCCCCAAAAGCACCCTCTACGTGCGTGCTTCGATTTCGGCCGCGACTTCCCGTCCATGTCCCAGGCCGGGTTGATGACGGCGATCTCGTCGATGCTGATCCCCGACCCCCCATGAGAAGCATTGAGCTAGTATGCACTACGGCGGCGGCATTGGATGAGGAACGTCTTCCTGGGGCCCAGACCCCGGCGCCTCTGCGCTGTTTCAAGGCGAGGTGGGTGGCCCGCGTTTGGCCGCCCATCGGTCACGAGACCGTGGGTTCCTCATCGAAGGTATCCTTATCTAAAGTCTCCGCCGCGACGTCGTCTGCATGGGCGTCTCGGGGGCGAAATGTCTGACCTCTTCCTGATCCTCAGTGGCATTGCTCGGGGGTGACCTGGCTCTTGTCCATTAGTTTCCTTGGGCTTGGATCCTTTCCCGCGACGTTTCGTAGACGTCCTGGAGGTGCCTGGGCGCGGCAAAACGAGAGCTTGCGCGGGCGACCTGGAGATGGTCGTGCGAGACCTTCGCCACCTTCGTTCTGTGCGCGCTGTCTTTAAGGAGGCGGGAGACATCGCCTGCCTCGTTTCGAAGGCCGCGAAGTGCATCCTGATATTCTTGGGCCAGCAGTTTAACGAGTTTCTGAAGTTGAAGTACTTCCGCTGGCGTCCGCTGAACATGCCCGAATGGTCGACGTTCCAGAGTCAGGACAAAGCTAAATACCTTGGGATGTGGTTGGGTCCTGGGGTGCTCGGGAACGAGTGGTTTGCGCCGCGACGGAAGTACTTCCACAGATGCCGCGAGCTCACAGCGGCTGGTATGGCCGCGGAAGTCGCAGCCAATGCGCGCAATAAACGTTGCATCACGGTTCTCGCATATATTCGCTCAATATTCGCACGCGCCTCAGAAGTTGCTGTCTGCGGAGTTTGTCCAGTTCTCAAGGGTGTTCCATATGCCGCGCCCCCGTCTCAAGTATGCCGACTGGATGCGAGCTTCCGAGCGGGATGGCCCTGCTCTGACCAGCATGGTGGCACTCAGCCTCGCCAGCCTCGTGCGAGCCGCGCTGTTCACGCTCAGCGCGTGGCGTGAGGCCCTCGAGGACTTGAGGGGGAATGCCGGGACTCACCTCCCTTTCGTCTCCGTGTTCGCTGGCGCCTTTCCGTCGAGCCTCTGGAAACAGCCACCGCTTGCCCTGATCCTGGAAGACGCGAGTCTCGGTTTCCCTGCCCATCCTAAGTTGTACTCTGCAGGACTTACCGCCCTCAGGAGTCTTGAGCAGGATAGGAATGATAACCCGACCCTCTCGACCAAGCAGCTGCACCCGCAGAAGATGATACACCGTGCGATCCGTGACCATCTGTACCCTGAGAGGCTCAATTTGACGCTCTCCCAGAGGCTCCTCGCAGCCATGTCGTCTCCATCTCAGCCTATCGTCAGTCCCGAAGCGGCCATGGCGCAGTTCCGCTTAGTTCGCTTTCGGGTCAGGAGGTCTGCGAGCAGTTCGGCCAGCCGAGGACCCGGCGCGTCCCTGGAGACGCGCGAGGAGGAGGAGGAGGAGGAGGAGGAGGAGGAGGAGGCGGAGGAGGA